TGCAGATGTGCTTTGAAGGACGTCGAAAATCTGGCAAGTTTCAGTGATTTTGATCTAGTGCCCACCTTTCAGTGTGGTTGTTTCTACTTTTAGTCCGATCTTCTGCTTACCTTTATCGCTGATCCATCACCCTCTTTCGAGATTGCGCAGCAGCGAAGCCTTGTGCAAGAAGTTGACACGGAAGTTTGTACGTTGAATTAGCCTTGAATATATCTATATATGTGTAGAATATCTACACGTTGCAGCTTTATACGGGAATGTGGCATTGTCTCGACCTGTCCTTAATAGAGAACAATTGCTTGCGAGAAGAATCGATTGTTGTTTGTCTTTCATAAAAGTTGGTGTTTTTTGGATTTTCAACTAGTGGAGTTGAATCCCATCCGTTTGCCTTCAGAGTTTGAATAAGCCTCTTTCAAGTCACTTGCTGGTTGAAATTGCCTGTAAATGTGTTCAACGCTGGACTCTTAATATCGATATACCTCGTTTCATCAATAATCTATCAGCATCCAGTGGTGAGTTACACCTGTTTTGGTTAGCTCGGTCGTAATGGTGAGTCTGCAGTTCTGCCCCAGTCCTCTTGGCATTTCATAGCTGGCGTATTCTTCGAGCAGATACAAGACAGCGACATAGATTGCAGTGATAAGAATACAGTCATATCTTTACTCAGATTATCTCAGGTAAGACTCTCAGGTACCTCTCGTGCCTCAAGTATGTGTGGTTTGGTCATTTGCAGGAAATCATACATTCCACTATGCAGTATCTACAAAAACGCGCTGAAAGATTCATCTCTTTGGATATCATTCCCGCGGAGAGTGAAGAAGATCGACAGATCCATGTAACAGAATTGCAAAATGCAAAAATGGCTGTCGGACTAGCTGGAGCGGTTGTCATGACAGCCTCGTTAGACGAAGAGGTAATTTTCGACAGAAAATAATACGATAGAATACAAACTCAGTATTGACTCAGATCTCCACTGAACTTTCCGAAACATGCGCTGTCATGTTGTCGTTTTCTAAGCTGGTGAACGAGCTGAAGTGCAAAGATGACGATGTGTTGGTCATAGCTTCAGATGCGCAGAAATTGGCCAGCCTATTCGAGAAAGAGCAGTCATCAAGTGCAGTTACACCCTCTGCCACCAGTAAAAAGTGAGAAATTTCCAATCAATAATGCGTTAATTTCGTTTAGTAGTTATGACCTTTTCCTTGCGAATGTTTTTTTTTGCATATATTCTCAATCAGAAGTATTGGGATCTACACGATATTATATCGTTACTACTCATGAGAATGTTCACGTGAACACAGTCATAATAGGCCAAATTCTAGCTTATGATCGGTAGCATCAAAACGCATCGTTCTAGTTCTTATGCAAGCTTGCAAAATATATCAGTTTTGCAATGATTGAATGTTTCAGAGAATCCGCGGTGGATGTGGTTGAAAGCATACGAGAACGTATTGCACTGGATTCTCCTGTAGATCGCGGTGGAGCACTTCTTGACGTTGGTCGTCTGATACGCTCGCGAAGTCCCACGATATTATTGCAGCTGGAAGAGTGGCTGTTTGAGGCCATGAAAGGTATAGATACTTGCCATTTGTAAAAGGATACCTTTATACTCTTCCTTTTTACAATCTTTCCAAGAAGTTCAGAAAAAATATTTTTTGAACAAGAAGTTTTTGATTACAAGTTTTAATCGTATATATTTAAGACATTCAAAGATGATTTTGCGATTCAGAGGCCCTCTTCGATCACGACTCTTATGTATATCTGGCTGCTATAAATGCACTTGCCGAGGCATCCTGTTACAGTTCGAAGTATCTGCGTGAAATGATCTCTTTGTTTAAAAATTTTCAAGTTCCTTCTACGTCTTCTGCTGCGCAGGTAAGACCTTCTGTCGTTCTGCTTATAGATGCACCACTGTTCAAAATGTTCCAGGCTGAACCTAACCAAGAGCCGGAAACAGCTAACGGTGAAGAACCTGTCAGCACTGAAGTTGTCGTTCGGTCAAGACTTTGCGAAGCGATTGGAAAAGTATTCAAAGAGCTAGGTTGGTGTTTTGTTTCAGTGGGATTTGTATGTTTTGACAAGTTAACGGTTAAGTTAAGTTGACGGCATTCGATTGCCGAATTTGTATTATTCATTTTCATTTAAGGAGAGATGGGCCCGGTCTGGATGGACGAGTGTGCTGGAGATTTTTTAGCTTGCTTTGCAGAAGATGATGAGATCCTTAGGGCTAGCTCAGTACAGTCCTTAGCTGAGCTTATACTTGCTTGTCGCGGCAAAAATATAGAAAAATATCTAAACGAGGTAAGCGTCATCTTATTTTACCAATGACTCTCATACAGATTTTTCACAGATACTCCTTCTTGTTGAAAAGGCACTTACATCTGAATCTAGTGCCTTAGTGAGGCGTGCAGCTGTGAATCTCTTACGTCAAATAATTAGGTCATGTGACACCATGATTTTTGAGGTACAGTCTTGTATGCTTGTATTTTGTGCTCTTTCAACTAGATGTTAATTGTAGGTTGTTGGCTCCCGGTTAAGAGATTTGCATCGGCAACTTTTACATCTATGGCGCTTTGACTCTGATCATGTCGTACGATTGCATGCTGAGCTGGCACTCGAGGAGATGAAAATGTCCATAAAGAACATTGTTATGGAAGAGACATCCAGTATCCGTACCATCAAATTTTGATTCGCTGTTATTTTTGTTGATAAATTTTTATACAAAGCATGTTATTGTCTGCTCGCTGGTGTAGTCCTAGTACAGTGCAACCTTTATTCACACATAATGCTCATGTACGCATTTTCTGCAGGATTGGTTGATGAATAAAGTGGACGTGGCAGCAATTGCAGCTACTGTGCAAGAGTTTTATCAAACAAATAATGCAGAGCGTCGAAAACAGTTGGACGAGGACCTTTGTCAGTTCAAAGATAGTAAGTGTACTTTTGATTTGATCTAGTCTCAGTAAACGAATTTGGTTTTGTAGGATTCTCCTGCGATGATACGGTAGCCGCCTGTATCTTGTTGATGGGTGGTCGATACCCAGCAAATGTGCAATATTTCGGAGCTATATCATTGTATGAGACCATCAGACAGCGATATGAAGAATGCGTGGCAAATATCGCTCTTGTAAGGTTTTTCTTTTAAGTTAGGTTACGATTCTAAATAGATTGTTTATCAGATGGAAGTGCTGAAGTCGTTTCTTATCGAAAATCTCACGTCAAGTGCTCATGTCCAACTGCAGTCCATCACGAACAAATTATCATCTGCACTAGCTATATTGTCTCTATACTGCATCCCGGATGTATGGCCTGACCCTGTGGCAACTCTCACAAACATCTGGGCAGCACAGCCGGAACTGCTGCTGAGGTTGCTTTCAGGATTCGCATGTGTAGATAGCCCGACCACTAATTGCACTACATTCAGAGTACTTGCTGAGATTGCCGCTGAATTTTCGAACATCAAAATGCCGCTCACTCAGCGAAGCAAGTTGAAAACTGAACTTCACAGAACTTCTGAGGTAAGAAATTTGGATCAGCCTTCTGTTCCGTTTGTTTACATCTTTTGTTTTTTCTTGTTATCGTTCTTTTTTTCTTGACTTTTGGTCCTAGTTTTTGTTGTTTTTTTCTTGCTCCTACTGCTTGTCACTGTTCTTATGTTTATGTTTATGACTTGAACAGTATGCTTCAGGACATCATTCGCATCATTTCTACTGTCATGGGAGCTGATGATGCCTCTCCGTCCACCCGACAAGCTGCTGTTGAGTGTGTTGAACAGTGGATCAAATTGCCCGGGGTTGGATTGCAGCAGTGGGCTTCCGTCTTATCCGTAGTTTTTGGAGCAGTTGCCGAGGACAGGTACTGCTGTCTTTGTTGTTGTGAGCTGCATTCGTGTAGAAAAATGACCTCCATAGTGCCGCTCTAACAAATCTGCTCAATATTCTTGCTGCTAATGATGAATTAGCATCCACCGATCAGCTGGTCAATGATTTATGTCATTATATCACAACCACTGTTGCTCAGGTATTATATAGTCATGCTCTTCGCAACCACTAATCAGGGTCTTTACAGAAGCTGTCGACAGATATTGCTGAAGACGTTGACAGTGATGAGCTCGTGTCTCTCGTTTCTGCCATATGCACCGTCGCAGTCACTGCTATACCAACACTTCTTAAGAATGCAAGGAAGAACGGGCCTGAACTGCTTTGGTGAGTGTGATTCAAGCCTGTGCCAAAAGTCATTTTGGTATCTTCTGACGCCTTTACTACATAGTTTTTTGTATTTCAAAATTTCTGCATTTCTTGACATTTCGTTCGTAGAAAGTGCATCCTTTTCGTTGTTGATAAACAGAATGTGTGATCAAAATCAAGCCCTGCATCTGTGCCTTGCATGTTCCC